TGAGCCTCTGTGATCTGACAAAGTTCAGACTTTGACAAGAAGGTTTAGCTCCAATTGCAATAACATATACTGTGCCACAATCAACATTGTTAGTAATGTTCTGTTAAATTAGAGGTAAAAATAGTTTGAGAACTGCAATTAAATCACAACTGAACCTGGGATACTATTAGCTGTCGTCCCTTAAATAGTCTATTTGCTTTTATTGCAAACAGTTTTTAGTCTGGCAACAAAAAGCAAGCTGGATAATCAGCTTGAAAACCAAAACACAGTATGTTAAAATAAACAACTATAATATGTTAAAAAAAAAAAAAAAAAAAAAGCAGTGTATGATTTGCACATGCTTACTTTCTGTCTTAACCATGCTGTACTGTGAATTCCAAAGTGCTCATGTACTGGGAAGAAGCTCATTTGTCATTTGTCAAATGAATAAAATTTCCACCACACAGCAAGAAAATAAAAATGCATAGCCCATTCATTTGTATGGCAGTGTAAGTGACAAAAACAGGCATGTGCAAGAGCATATGTGAATAATAATGATCAGATGCTAAAGCAGTACACTGAGATGACATGAACACAAGAAGCTGAAGTGTGAACGTCATTACATCCACTCTATTTGTTTTTGAGCTGTTGTGTTTATGTCCAATATCCTTATGTTCTATAAAAAGACCACAGCGGGTTTGTTATTAAAAAGAAGAAGAAGAAGAAAGATCCTGGCTCAAAAAGATTCTAATGGTGGTGTTGCTAGATAGCCAAGGAGTTTGGATAGAGCACTGTGACAGCTTTAGTATCCCAAAATTGATTCCTGACAATTGACTTAGTGTCTCTCCCAACACTTTTGTGCCAGATCATTTTACTTTTGTCCTATCCTGTGTGTTTTGTTTTATTCATACATGTTAAAAACACAAATCCTGCATATTTAGGCACAATTAAAGACAGAAAAATAAAATGCAAAAATCTTGATCTAGCAAATTGAAAATGTAGCCAGTAAAGCCAGCCAGTCACAATTTATGACTTCTGGTACCCATTAAATAAAGAGACATCATTAACTTTGTGATTGACTACCATTTGGCTGGAAGGGCTATAGTCTGACATAAGCTGTTTCACACTCCCAGTATAGTTTGACCTTAGACATACGCAGAGTATGGTTTAATCTGGGTAGAGGTTAATTAAGCCTGCACTGCTTTCCTGCATTCATCCTGCTCTTATACTATTAATACCAGTTCATCAAATTATACAATCTCTTGTTGCAATGTTGTTCTTGCTAGTGAATATACTTTAATATACATCTTTGTACTGTTATTCAAGCCAAAAAACAGGATTATGAAATATAAGACTTAAAGGTCCCATATTATGCAAAATTGACTCTTGTGTCTTGTGTCTGTCATGTAAGTGTTAGTTTTCAAGTTAACGGCTGCTTTTTACTTTTTGTTCATTTCCACACCTGAAATTATCCAGATGATTCTAGTGAAGGTGTGTGGAATTCAAAAATACATGCAGCATTTCTTGTATTACCACATGACGTCACAAGGTGGAACAGAGCACTTGGGAGAAGAACTCTGCCTGCATGTGTGAATCAAGCAAAACACAACTCTGGGTATGTTTGTGATGAGGAAACAACATTATAACACAAATCAAAAATAATGTAATATGGCCTCTTTAACAGAGCCACCACTAACTCAGCGTGTGTAAAAGTGAGACTGGGATGAAACAGGGTAAACCCACTCTTTTGAACCACACAGAGACAAACTGAGTGAGAGAACAGGAGAGATAGAATATATATAAGTGTGCTGGTCTGAGTGGAGCCTATCAGTCATGGTTCATCTGAGCCATGACATCAATTTCTAAGTGAGGAAACTCTCCCTGGTCTCCCTTCTCGTGCACAGAGGCTCCCTGGGTATGATTCAATGGGCAAAATACAAAAACACCGTGTTCTGTGCCATCATCTGTGTAACCTTTCAGTGGTAATGACACTTCAAAGAGCAAAGAAGAGAAAGGGATAAACAGCAAATGCAAAAACAGTATAATTTTATATAAAAGTCAACAGCTATGACAAAGGGTACACATGTTTTTTTATGGATTACTAAAAACACAAATGCAAAAAGAGTCAAATGGATTCAAGCATGATGTATTACTTTTAACCACAGAGCTCAAACCTGACAAAATAAAAATGAAGGAATAACACCAAACTAACAAAACTGAATATTTTTGATCAAATAACTGATACTAAAACAAAATAACAATTAATTCTGAAACACTGGAGCTCATTTACTTATATGAATGCTGTCTCTCACCCCTTTGCTATTTTGGGAATGTACACAATCCCTATGCCACCTTATTTCCAAAGACATGGCATTTGTTTAGCACTTCTCTACTTCCAATGGAGTCTCAAAACACTTAACATTAAGGAATCATTCACCTATTCACCTGCCACTTGGAGACAAGTTTCTTGCCCAATGTCACAATAACAGTATCTGCAGAATATCAAATTCTGTGAGAACTGTATTTTGCCCACTTGTGGGGTCATCTAACCTCTCCACAACAATGTTTATGCTGGGAGCGGGATTCAAACCACTAACCTTCCCTTCAGAGAATGAACCCAGCTACTGTCATCACATCAGGCTCTTCAGATTCTCCTCCAAAGTCTTTAAGTTTGCCCAGAAAGATTGCTTTTTTGAGGGCATCCACACCATAGCATAACATCTTCAGTTTATAATCTGAAAAACACATTTTTAGTTGCTTTTTTGAGTACTTTTCCCCTGAGGTCTAACCAGGACAAGAATGTGCGATGAGTCAAATCCCACTTTGAAAGCATTTCTAGTGAAATATAAAAATACTCATGACTCTTCTGAAAGTGAAACATAATGACAGCTGCAAATTAGAATAATACAAGATAATCACAGATGTACGCAAGAAATGTCTCCAATGTGAGAAGTTTTACAAAGTGATTCACAAAGTCACAGTTTCTTCTATAATTGAAATAATTGTTCTGAGAAATCCAAATGTGATGACATTACTCGAACTAAAAGGTAGTCATAAGTCACAGTCACTAATAGAAATGTGAGCAATTTATTTTGTTAACATTTTCCCTTAAAGGACAAATTGCAACTACAAAGAAGCTGATTAATTTCTGACAGTATGACGCCACAGGGATTATGTGAATGGTTTTATTTAGATATTAGAGTTTGTGGAAGAGTTTTAAAGGAGAAAAGAACTGTGCAATTTATTCCATATGGACTTCTTTATAAAAATAATAATATTTTAGGCCTATGTTTTTCCCCACACGTGTCAAGTATTTATTAAAGGTGGACTGCAGATGACCTTGGAGAGGGCCACTATCTGCTTGTCTCTCCACCAGAAAAGTTACATACTGCACCTTTAACAACTTCATGTAAAGATTTACAAGATACAACAGGTGATGCTTTTGCCTTCACAACTGATGATATCAGGTCTAATTATTCTTTTAAATACAGGCAAAGTGAAACAGGCAAACAAGTAGCAGGTCTATCTGAACCTTTGAAAGACCCTCACAGCTATAAATAGACAAAAAAATAATAATGTATGGAAGAGAAAACAAAGAGCCTGGTGTGAAGACAGTTGGAGACAGTAGTGTTTTTGTCGTAAATATAGGTCAACGCAGACAGATGCCACTTTTTAAGTACTTTGTACTCACTGTGTACTGTTGCTATGCAACTAATCTGTGTGATACTGGAGGATTTCAGGTGAAAACTGAGGTTTCTACGCCCCCTGGTGGTGAACATTTTGGTGAGATCTTAGTTTGCCTTTTTGTCAAAAACGGTAAGTTTATCCCAAAATAAATAGCATAAATAAATTAATGAAGATATAGCTTCATTAGGCGTATTCAATCTTCATACTTTTTTCAGTTTTAATAAACTGAAGATTGACTTGAGGTACTGGCACCTGCAAAAGGAAAATCCCACTATAACAGAACTAACGACAGACGGTATATATTTTGCTTGGAAAAATCCAGACTCATCGCTGTACCAGCGGCTGATCTGTATAACAAATACAGAGAGATATACTTTTGGATTTCCAGCCAAGAATATATTAAAATACAGAATACAACGAATGCCTCCAAAGATGCTTTTTTTGGTAGGCCTAACTGTTCGATTCAACTTGGTGACTGTAACAGGAAAAGAGGGTTTGATGTAATTATTTGCAATTTGAAATGTAAGGTCAGCAAGGTATAGAAAAATAAGAAATAGCGCCCTCGTATGGAAGGATGTTATTTACACGTCTACAATCATATAATTATAAGTTTAGATGAGCTATTTCATTAAAATATGTTCAAATAAATGTAAATTGTTATGATATAAGGGAAATCCTTGTAATAAACACATACACGTAACTAGTACTACAACAACTACTACTAAACAAACATACCTTTATTTTTCAGCCAATTACAAAAGTGTCCAGAAGATGGCAGCATTTGCTTTGTTCGTAAGTCCATGTTTTCGAAGCAAATCCCTGTGATATTTAACATGCAGTATTATCCTATATGAATGGTGTAGAATGTGAAGTGTGTGTGATATTGTCGCAGAATGGAAGCCACATCTCTGTTAATGAACCCCAAAGTCATGCTGGCCTGTGTCCAAAAATGTGCTGTCTCAGACTTATAATTTGATTCTTTATTTACATTGTGGAATTGCATTAATGATAACAGACCTGTGGGAGGTAGAATGCTCATTTGTTGGCTGGATGCAATACGGCACAGTTAATCACACAAAACAGAAAAGGACAATAACAAATAATTTTCTTGTGACCTGTCAAACAAGTTTTGGCAACAATGACATTACTTCAGTGCATAGTGGGAGAAGAATCTAGAAAGTATACAGTACATATATACCTTTTAGTAATTCATGTTAGCATCAATGCCAAGACAAATGGTGTGCTTATAATATTTTCACAAACTGTAAATTGCAAATATTTACACATTTATTTCACATTGTTGTCCAAAAGCATCTTCAATGTCTTCTTGGTGTTCAAAGATGTGGATTAAAGTAAGTCGGCTGAACAAAACCAGTGGATATAAAGGGGTGCAAGAGCCCTCCTGTGGACGTGAGTGGGACTGCAGCTGTAGAGTGGAAGACCATGTTTCCAGAGCTGAAGTTTGGAAAAGTCTGATGGAAGTTACTTGGGCTTGGACTGACATTTACCACAGTGTTACCTGGTGTCTGTAAAGTGCTGTCTGCTCCAGGGTTTTGCTTTTTCCACTTCGTTCTCCGGTTTTGGAACCAGATTTTGACCTGGGTTTCGGTGAGGCTGAGGGACAAAGCCAGGTTGAGTCTCTCGCAAACAGAAAGGTAGCGTGTGGTACGGAATTTGTTCTCCAAAGCGACCAGTTGCTCGTACGTGAACGCAGTCCTAGCACGGCGAGGTTTGGCACATGTGGAATCATGGCGGCGGCGTTTGTGAGGGGAGTGATCCGGAGTGGCGGAGGAGGACAGAGAGGTGCGGTCTGTGTCCTCTTGGTCCACGCTGAGACAGGGTTCTGGTTCAGGGGGAGGCGAGGAGAGCAGCTGAGGGGTTTGTGATGAAGAGAAGAGCTCTTCCTCTGCACCATTTTCATCCTCTGTGAAGAGAAGGGGTGGAAAACTGAGAATAAAGTTTAGATTTAAAGTCCTACTATTTATAATGGCAATAGAAATTACATTGCACTTCATACAAAACCAAAATAACAAGTAGCCAAGCACAATATACTGAAGCTTCAAGTTACTATAATTTTTGTTTAGTTTTGTTTAGTTTATTTGGGCATTTTTGCAATTTGTTTACATTACATTAGATAGAAGCGTACATGGCCCAAAAGGAGTATTACTTATGAGCACCTACTCCCATACACATAGTCTAAAAGTACACCATGTTACTTTTGTGGTGGAGGGTTCATCACCGTGTTGATGTTTTTGTTTTGCCTGGAATGTGCCACAGTATGACATTAAACATATCTATCTCCATGGACACAAGTGGGCTTCAGAAAAGTTACATAGTGCACCTTAAATAGCTAAATTAGATAATCACATTGACTGTATGATGTTGACATACCAATTATAAGCTGTGGCTCCAAAAAACACTTGGTCAGCATAATTACTATATCGATTTATCGTTCAATATATGAAAGCTGGAAGAATGTATTTTTGGGCTCAATATTTATCATTTGTATATGATCTGTGAAAACATTAGACATTTTTGGTAACACTTTTGAGTATATGATAACATTTAAGCCATAAAAATCTTTATCTAATAACTTCTAAGACTCATTACGGGTGCAAACTAAGTGGGCTACTAAAGTGTATCATTCTGGAGTTTCTTTGTTGCGGCTTGGGGTTTTTCAGTGATATGATACATTTAGAATAGTTTGTTGTGGTTTTAATCTGCTTTTAGGTTTTTTGTATCTGTGGCATACATGCATTTCAGTATTATTGTTTGTCTGTCTATATTTAGTCTACTTCAGCCATTGTCACACTTTGTTGTCAGGCTTAATTGTAAACATTAAAACGCTGTAAAACATCACATTTTACGCTAAAATGTTAAAATACAGGCCTATAGCTGTTTTGACATAACGGCATGCCTACTCTAGCTTGCTGCACTATTAAAAACGAGTAGGAAAAATTTGAATGCTTTAGTTTTATGAGGCAGAAAATGTCACCGTTGATTTGGTTGGCCGTGGTGCTGAAAGAACAGCTCCATTCGTGCGTAACGTATCTCGCCTCGTGTGACAGAGCACTTTTCATTGGTTGATGTAGGCCTAGAATCAGTTCCAATAGCCAACTCATGAGCAGTAAGTCGTCCCTTCATCTGGTCCTGTTTAAGAGTGTATTTAAAGGCCTGGGGGTCATCCAAACAGAACGGGGAATTAGACGGAGAGGTGCAGCCTGGTCACTAATCCTTAAATAATTTATAAAGCCCACAGCGCGTCTCAAAATGTCATGTTGCGGAAAGAAATCCCGTCTAAATCCCGCCTCGCCCCCTCAGCCATGGCGTGCTAATGGAGTTTCATATTTGCGCGCGGATCGATAAATGTCATCTATTTAAAGGGAAGTTTGAATCGAGCGATATTTGGGATCAGACATGGAAGGGGTGTGAAGTTTGTACCTGCAAGGTGCTGGAGGGAGATATGCAGGATGCGGTAATGGGATATCGATCAAAGCCTGCGCGGGGCATCCTCAATGGGACGATTTAAACAATTATCTAGGCCGCCTGTCCCACTGCCAATCACACACCGGGGCTTTGGGAGCGAGCCTTTGTGGCCGCGCTCAAAGGAAACGCAGCTCTTAAAATGAGAGGAAGGTCACTCACAGATGACAGCAGTTTGATAGAAAACGTCAAAGTGAGGCGTTTTTCTTTACTTTGTCCAAAAAAGTTTTGTGTAGCTATAAAGGTGAGTTTGTTTGACCGTATAAAATATGTTATAGACAAAAGTCATTACCAATAGAGCTAAAAAAAAATTGCAGTCTAACTTTGCCTAAGAAACTCATTTGACTTCACATCGAAGCTGTATCTAAACCCAGAACTTACCCAAGACTAGACCAGGGCTGGACCAAGTGGGAACGCACCCTATAGCTATTCTAAATTGTGGCAGATGATATTTTTGAGTTTCACAAATTAATATAAAAAATAAAAATACGAGCAAACTAAGGCACTATATTATTGTCATGAAGTCTTTGGCGGACGGATACGCAGTAGCAATAGTAACAGGTGCCGTGTGGTTGCAATAGTTTTTGTTGTTTTTCTTTGTTGTTTTCTTTCTCTATCACTCTCTCTCCATTAAGATATAACTCACAAACGTAACTCATTTTACCTTCTGGTGTTTAACTCAACTTAAGTACGTAAAAAATTTAAATTAAATAAGTTTTATCCTCTTATTTACCTTCCAGTGCTCCCTCCGCTCCACTTTCATTTGCACTTGTCACTGCACTGTCTTCCTCCGCCTCTGGAAACGTCTCCCTGGCGTCGCAAAGTATCCTCCTGCTGTTAAACTTGTTTGGGTCCAAGATGTCCAAGATGGAGAAAGAAATCTTGTTGTGCGTCGTTGTCATCTTCACCTCTTGTGTGAGTCCAGCATAATTCATTCACACACAGTTCGGGACACTTTTTGGTCAGATAAAACTCGTCATATCTTGTCTCTTTGTAGGCTTAGGTGGTCTGCAGTAGTGGTCCCTGGTTGACGCTGCGCTCCTCGTGTCTGTGCCGGTGTGGTGTGGGTGGATGAGGCGCAGGGAGACCACTCTTTAAAGCCCCTGTCCCCCCGTAAGTCTTTTCAGCCAGACACGTGACACAAACACTATTAACGTTTCACACGACCTCCTAATGGGCTCAAAGCTTTCGTCGATAATCACCCATATCATTAAATTCAATAAACCTCGACCTGTGCGTAAATTGGGCACAGATGGTACTTGGACTATATTAGATGTTGTCCTATCTCTAAAATTAAACTTTTAAAATGTGCAATAGTCTGTCCCTCAAAGCCTGGAAACAGAACGAGCAAAAATGACATAGACACATAAAACCCTGCCTTTCAGGTATTCATTTATTGCTATAAAAACAATAGTAAACTTTAAAGTTGCATTTTGTAAACTTGTTATTCCATTCAATAAACAGATACGTAAACAGATGAGACAAATAAGGCTTGAAATAACATTATTTCTATTTCATTATCATTTTAAACTGATTACATTCAAAGTATTCCAGATAGTAGATATGTGAAATCAGAAATACATATTATTAGAATATGACATTGTAATATGTGTACATCAGAAACTGCCTAATAATGGTCCTGTGGTGGGTATTTTCATATTTGATCAAACTGAAGCTCAGTAGCAGTTAAGGGTTTTGCTTTATTATGTTGCAGTAAGTTGCACTTATAATTTATATTAATGGGCAATAACATGCTATGATGACAGTGCTGAGAAGTACATGTACTGAGAATATGTATACGGAATATAATTTTTGTAACTACCGAAATACAGTTACTCTTTCAACTGGTAGTATTCAGAATACAGTTACTTTTCTAAAATCAGAGGAATGGATTTAGGTATTTGATGACAGCTGCTTCAAACTGCACAGTGTTTTACATTTTATTTTTTTTATTTGTTATGGAAATGCATAACAAACGGTGAAACAAACATAAAGAAGAAGTTTTTATCCCCATGTTGTGCTTTTACACTATAATTTAAATGAGACTCAATGACAAAGCATTCAGAATAGTCACAATACAGTAATCTGATTCAACCATGTATTGGAATATGTTACAAAATACATTTTAATTCAGGTATTCAATATTTTGCAACTAAATACATTTTCAAAGTATTCTTCCCAATATGATGACAAGGCAGTGACAGCTCAAAAAAGCAGTACAAAATGTCAAATATAAATAGCTTTTTGTGCTAATATAAATTGCTAATGTATTTAAAAACTACAAGAATGATGAATTTACTTACAAAGTACCTCAAAAACTGTTTTTTTACACTAAATTTATTCTTTTCAATCTAAAAATGCATTGCAAGTAGTTATTGAACACAACTGATTGTTTTCTCACCTAAAGCTGATAGTTTGATATTCACAATCAATGGGCTCTCTGGTCTTTAGCCATTAGCATTCAATACCAAGTGACACAGGCTTGTTTAAACCCTGATGCCCGCTGATGGCTCAAATGGTGAAACCAGCACAGGATCAATATTCCCAGCAGGTGTCCAATACAGATAAAGCGTGATGGCTACAGTCAGACAGACAGCCTTTTGGAGAAGGGGAAGCCACACCAGTAACAGATCTGACCGAAGCTCCCTGACAGTCTTTTGACCTTGTAATAAGTATTTCCAAGCAAAGTGGGCTCTCCTTTAATATACTATGAGCTTGGTGGCTAAAGAAAAGTGGTTGAATGATTCAGTAGAGTTTTCAAAAGTATTGAAAATCAGAAACAAATGAATACTAAAACTAGTATTGAAACTACTACTCATTTGAGCAAGTATCGATACTAAAAAAGTCACATTCACAGGACAGAAATGAACCTTTCCTGAATAGCTTTGGAATGATATTGAGTTGTATTAAAACAAGTATAAGACCACCCCGACTATTATGCAACCTATCTGAATGAATGAGGGATTACACAGATATAAGGCCACATGGTAATATAAAAGTAAGTACTATGATTTTATGTTGAAAATCACACTCATTTGTCTAAAGAAAGGGTGCTTTTTATTATTATCGTGGTATCAAAATCTTTATTGAATATAGAGTCTATTCTTAAGCATTTACATATTTTACAGCTGAAGCCTGTGAGGTCTACTATGTTTATTTATGCACCCAGACAGTAGTTATGCATAGTATTGGAGCAGATTTGAGCCCCTCTTTTCTTCGGATAATTTCCTGTGCCACTTATATGGTGTTTAGTGTGCTTTGAGAAGGCTCCATGGTCTAGTTCTGTGTGCGTTGCGTAGTACTTACATAGTCAAACATTAGTCAAAGCCACCCCTACTGGGAGTCTGCATGTTCTCCATTTGCATATGTATAGCACTTGCGCAGCCCCCACTGTAGTCTACATTTGAATAGGGCCTGCTGGACACTGGAGGGTTTACAACTTCCTACGAGAAAGCCCAGCGGCCGGACATCTGCTTACGTGGGGCAGCCTTGAGGACAAAGATGCCCCCAGGTTAGAGTCTAGAAAGCGGGAACTGCATTGGAATCACTGTAGACCTCACCAGGGCAGTACAGAGAAGGAGTAGCCCACATCGGGACTCCGCAGGGGGGCTAAGGAGACACACTTCCACCCTGGACCCCCCTCCTGGGTCCATAAAGTCATTACATGGTGGGGAGGCTGCCCCAGGTCTGCTAAGCGTCACATCATTTGTCTAATGGCAAGAGTGGTATTATGAGGTGCGCTTGTCTTGTGTACTCTACTGGCCTCCACTGTCTCCACATCCAACCCATAAAGAGGGCACACAAAGGAGCAGCAAGACACTGGTCAGACATTAAGAGCCTGTTAGATCCGTCATGGTAAATTCCTAAGCCTTGTATCTCTTTTAAATACATAGCAACAGGTAAACATAATCTGTGATCGCACAACATCCTGAATTTAATCGCTGTAATAAACTGTTTAAAAAATACTGTAGTCTAAAAGTCCTGCAGAAATACCAGAAGTGTAAAGAACTGTAAAGTGTGTGTGTTTTCTTCAAAATAAATAGCTGTTACTGGTTCTTCAAGTTGAACTTTTTAAAGAAACTATTATGCAAACTGTTTGGAAATAATAATTTCTTACATCACAGTTTTACTTTATTCTGATTCTGTTTTATTGGATTTGGGAATGTTAGACTTCTCACTATTTTACATTTCCATAGTACTTAGTGACTTAGAGACTTATTTGGGGTTTATATAATTGTATAGATTCTACTTTTAAATATTTGATTTAATTATTTTATGATTATTTGAGTTCTGGTTTAGAGTAAGACAAAAAATGTAGGATGTAGACTTCTTTATTCTCTTCCAAGCAGGTAAGCAGTGTGTTTGTTTAACACAGTTGAAACAATCTGAGCAAAGACTTTGTTTCTCTGATGAAGTTGTTCACTTTATAACTGCCAGTATAGTTACTGCTGGTAAAGGGACAATCAGAAAAGTTTTGTCTCTTCACTTAAACCCCATAATGAATAACTGCTAGATTGATATGTTTAAAGTCATACCATGGAATATTCCAGGCAAAGAAATAATAAGTAGATAGTGGATCCTCCACCATTTAATCTAAACAACTGCTTGTCTGCATTTAGTTCAAAACTTCATCTTAAAAGGAGTTAGATTGGTTCTTGTTCCAACAGTGGTGCTGCCAGACTAGTTCCGGTGAAACCTCATGAGTGCTCGCCTGACTCCCTCTTTGACAACAAGGTCAGTGGCATTGCCCAGTAATTGTCCTAACGGCCCGTATACCTGTTGGGTGGAGGCGAGTAATGAGAGTTTTTCATTACAGGCGAGACGGGTGAGTGCGCCTGGCAGATGCTGACAGGCAGCAGATGTGTAAAGTTGGGGGTGATTTGTAAAGGGGTCAAACTGCATCACGGAGGAGATGGAGGGCAGAGTGGGGCTGGTGCTGGAATTATGCTGAGGGACACTGTCAGTCACGGGGCGCCCCTGTCAGCAGAGGTAAAGGTCAGTTCAAACGCCACCGCTGCACACATCCAACATGGACGCCAGTCAAGTCCAGTCTGGTTTGGGGGAGATAAAGATGTCTCGTGTGTGGTGAAACCGTGCATAGTTGAACTGAAAGAAGTTTTGGAAAGTGGTTTTGCTTTCCTGGGTGGCTACTAGGAATCACATCTATGATATTTTTGTGCCCTATCTAGTGCATTCCCTCATCTGTTTCCACAACAGTTTAGGTTATGTCTTAGGTAATAGTTCCTAAATATTTCCTGTGCTCTTATGTCAATGTGTTCCTACCTGTAAAGATCGACAGTGTTTAATCTGAAGTATGATTTCATAGCTTATAATATGCTCAGAGTCATTTTATGTACCATTTTCTCTCCAAAAGTTCACAAAAATTGAGAAATAGTCTGGACATTAAAAAATTTCAGAAAACCTTTTCAGTGAAATGTTTAACCTGTTTAAACTTGAAAGTGAAATTAGAGTAGAGCAGTAGCTGATAAAGAGGAGAGCAGTAAACAGTACTAGAAGTTTCTGTAAAGAGCTAATAAGCACAGTGCATTTGTCCCTCACAGTTGGCTGTGTGTGAGGCCTCTGCACTCGCTCTACTGTCACTCAGCCTGAGCATTGATTATCCATTGTTCTGAGAAGGTCACATCATAATTCATTAACAACAATTAGTCCCCCAGTGCCACCTGCACTCCTTCTCTCGATTGCCCTGTGAAATTACGAGCTACCATCACGGCTCATACGTGCAACAATGAAGATGTATTCGCAATGTAAAGGCAAGAGCTATTAGTTACATTATTTAAATGGATCCGTTTAAGCCAGGGAAGCTGTCTTTATGAAGGGCAATTAGGCACTAACCGTAATTGATAATTCATGCTAATTACAATTAGGAAATATAAATAGTGAGTGTAGGATTAATCCTGATTGTGGCGAGTGGGTGCGGTGTGTGTGCGGGCTGTGAGCTGTGATGGAAGCCAATGGATTATGCCCCATTCATCTCCATCAGTGCACAAACAGATTGTGTTTGTCCCTTTATATTTCTCCATTGACCGTTATCTCTTGTTTTGTTTCTGTGCCCTTGCCAAATTGTCCATGAGCTTCAGTTAGTCTGGTTCAAAAGTGTAAAGTGGCTCTGCTGTTTAAGCTGCTTAAATTGCTTTATGAGACCAGAAGGATAAAATCGAACACATAAAACAATTATATGTTCTATACTACACTATAATATAATATACAATAAATGTTTTAAAAAAAGTTATAAGTTTGTAATATTTAGTAAATGTGCACACTTACCACAAATTGGTAATTAATAACAAATAATAAAAAAATAGTAACATAAATACGTAAACCTAAAGGTTAGTCCAAGTAAAGACAACAAGGACTCATCACTCATTTAATGGGATATTTTCATTAAAAAACACCTAAAGAGCACAGACCACTGCCAAAGCATAAACCTTCTGAGATCCTTCCTATGTATTTTTTATTTTATTCCCACTATATAGAAATATACTTCAGTCTAATCTATTTCCTTTGACAAAGCTTGGTGCTGTTATAATCTCCCATTTCATCTGTAATAAGAACCAACTTCCATGAGGTCATCTTATCTGACCCCAGGACCAGGGCGATGAAGACACTTGCTCTGACCCAACATAAAACCACTGGACAGACAGGAGGCCTGTTAGACTCTATTGTGCCTGAGGACGTGCTCTTCTTCTGCTCTGATAAGTGCTCGGACCTGTCAAGGAGCAGCGGCCTAAGTGGAGACAACAGTGTGATTTCAATACTAATGCTGTGCTGTCTTAGCTGAGCAAACAAATATACAGGCTGATCAGAGGGGCCCAGCGGAGGCCGAGGGGAGGCTCAGGCTGTGTGTTGACTCAGATGGGCCTTTATTGCTTTATTCTTGTGGGATTTGAATTAATCATGGGTCTATTCATGAGCGCCTCTGTGTTTGTTTGCACCTAAATGGGTGATTTAAGGATGTAAAGCTGAATGTCAAGCTGTATGACTGCCCTGTGATATATGATCAAAAGTCTGCATCGGATGTGTATTGGAGAATTGTATGATGTATTTCAAATGTTGTCTAATATATTTGATAACTTTGAAACCTTATTGTGTTGAAGTATACCTTGCCCCTTTACAGTTCTAGTATTGTCAGATAGGACCCTGTCTGTTTGGCCCCACTGCTGGCAGTGTACTGCTGTAATTGCTACAGTGAGAGCTGGATCAGTGAAGCCGCTCTAATCAATAAAGTCTTCATCAGCCATTTCCCCTGATGATTCTCCCTCATTTCTCCCTTAATTGTTCTTTTCATCAAACATGGTGCCGTGAGCGTGTGTTTGTGTTCCCAGGAGCAGCAGCCTCAGTGACTCTCAGAGGACCGCAGCTAACCACTGATTGTCAGAGAAGCTGCCAAAAAAAGGAAGGAAAACTGGCTCCCAGTTTGATGTGACCTGAGTAGACCAGGATAACTGTGGATGAAGACATGAGCTGCCTCACAGCGCCCCCTCTGCTGGCACTGAGAACATCAACTCTCTCAGGTGAAGACTTATTTACCGCTAAGTCCCAGTGGGACAGGTATGTACAGTTTAAAGTAAACACACACTCCATCTCCCATAACATCCTCACCTTGTGGAAAGACAGAAATTCCATATAATTAGTCTCCTGGCATAATCGCCCAAGTTGGTTGTCAAGGTTTTTGGAGAAATAGAAAAATAAACTGCTTTAGTCAAGAAGATGACTTTGGAGTTTGGAGAACAGAATAAGACAAAACTCAATTTGGCCATAAATGACTCGAGCAGTTATGAGGTCAGCAATATTTTATAAATGTTCAAAACAGAAGACAAAAACTGACAATCAAAAATGCCAGAATTTCTGCTAAATGTGTTTCAGTTTGCTATGGGTTTTCCGACATGCCTCTGGTCACATTGTTGATGTCTTACTTTGTCAACCAAAACTTTTATTGATCAATTAGATGTATCCTTGCTGTACCAGTAAATTGTCGGTTTAATCTGGCTTTTCACATCTAAATAAATTGTCGACTTCTCTGTGTGTATTGTTGTTATCCAGTGAAGACTTGAAAGCATGTGATCTTCTGGGTACAGTTTGGGGTAGTTACAAACATAGAGATTCTAGTCATAGTTTACTGCATATGCTTGAATACAGTTCTAAATTAGTCTATTAGTGAATCCTTTGAGTTTTGCTAATACCAAACTGCAATTAAAATGAGCTGTCAAGTCTTTAACCTCATTGATTTTGGAGATGTGGTGCAGAATAGAGACAGCCAGACAGTCAGTGAATTGTCCGAGCCTTTTTTAAAAATCAGTAATTTCAACAAATTTAAACCAGAAACTATATTAGATAAAATCTAATGGCAAAGGTATGAATACGGTACAGTGTATGAATACAGCAAAGACAAATCTCTTTTTGCCAGTCTTCTATTACACATTTATATTTTGATATATGAGCGCTTATGGGTTGTTGACTTACTGGGCTTTATTGAGAAAATTAGATTTGAGTTGTCTAACAGCCGGGCCACTCATCTCCTCAGTAAACTGCCATAGATCGCACCGTCGTAGCTGTTATCGACATATCCCATTACTGAAGGCCTTACGTTTTACGACCATTTCCATAAATTCAGCGTAGGGACGATGGCACTCTCTGCGGGCCTGATAGAAAGAGCTCCTCGGGGCTGCAGTTTGACGCCTCAGTGCCCCCCGAACACCTAGATTAAGCCCATCTCGTGATCAGCAATGGTTCAGGCGTCAGAGAGAGAGGACGCCATATTGAATGGGTTTGTACATGGTGTGAGCTGGAGTTCAGGTCAGCCAGTATTTACAGCTCAATCACTTAACAGGGAGGGGAGGGGTGGGGGGGTGCCTCTCTATTAGGCTGCTATCTATCCCACAGTCTGACAGAGCAGCAGAGGGCCCAGAACGGACATTAGAGTCCTGATAACGCCCCCTAGAGACTGAACTGTCTTCACATTAGTGTCCCAGGATCAGTGGATGTTCACACTGACAATAGCAGTAAAAGACAACTTCATTATTCAGTACCATTATGAATATGATGTAACACATATAGGTGTTCTTTTTAAGAAATTACATGTTAAATTATAGATTATTGAGTAAATAGAAGTTAAGACATTAAGATGTTTTTCTATAAATGTTTTAAATTAATTATTTTACAAATATATTTTGAAATGTAAACAAATACCCTGGATATAAAGTTCTGGAGTGCACAACCATCTTCATTTGAACCAACCCTTCGACAGAGACAGTCTATTTTCACTCGAGCTCATACAAACACTGACTTTTTCACTGTCTCTTTCCTTTACCTGCCCTCCAAATGCCCCCCGTACACTGGGGATAACCACTGTTCTGGAGTTTCTTGGAGAAGGAGCATATGGACAAGTGGCCAAATGCTTCAACTCCAAGACCAAAGAAGTGGTGACAGTGAAACTGTTTGAAGACAATTATGCGATGCAGGTGGAGCTGAACATCATCCAGCATCTGGAGAACACTAACCCAGATGATGTTAAATACACTGAGCACTTTTTGTGTGAGGAGTACCACAGCATCGTCTATGAAATACTGGATTGCAGCCTCCTGGATCTCTCCATGGACCACCCTGAAAATCTTTCACTGAGTAGCTATGGCCCAACAGTTCCTTGTTGCTTTTAAAGCACTGAAGGAAGCGTGTGTTGTTCATGGTGATCTGAGACCTGATAATATTATGTTGGTCAACCACCAAGAGCAGCCATTTAAAGTAAAGTAAAGTCAACTTTGGCTGTGGAGGGCGTTTCTCAGACCTGGAACAGGGCATGAATATGATGTGTGACAGACATTGTGCTCCTGAGGTGGTCCTGGGTGCTCCACTGTTCAAGGCCCTGGAGATGTGGACCCTGGACTGCCGCCTGGGAGAGGGCCTCTTAGGCTGCCAGCTGTTCTCCAACATGTCCAACTATGACCACCTGAGGAGTATCATCCATGTCCTTGGACAACCTAGCGATGAGATGCTGCAGAGAAGTGTACGCCGATAAATACTTCCTCAAGACTATCTGCCAGTGGAGATTCAAGAGCCCAATTGAATACCAGGCCACAAACTGGGAAAAGCCTGATGTCGCTGAATGTGAACTGAGCAAGCTTTCAGATCTAGAGGTAGCCATAATGCTACAGGCTGATACAGAGGATGAAGATGCCTTCTTGGACCTGGAGGTTTTCCTGGATTTTGTAAAAAATCTTCTCCAAATTGATGGAAAAAAGAGGATGACTGTCAGCCAAGTGCTGAGGTACCCGTTCATAGCAATAGAGCACTTGATCAGCAGTGACAGTGAATATGCCCAAGGTGCCCATGATTTCATGGCAGTGACTCTGAAGACCTCCACATCACCCACAGTCCTTTGGAGCTTTACTCTAAACATGAGGAGCCTGAAGAACCTGAGTGGATCTACAGCCCTTTGATTGAGACTAACAAAGACTCCGTCATCATTCAGCCTATGGAGGAGAATAACCAGTGCAACAGGCTAAGATCACTGATGACTCTTCAGAAGATGTCAAGGCTGATACTGCAGACAATACTGCGCATAAGAGTGCGTCCTTCTGGTCCGTGATGAAGAAAAGGTTTGGTGGTGGCATGGCCTGTTTCCACCAAACCTTGACCCATGCTGCACCTCAAGGAGGCGCTAAAGACACCCCTGTAATCTCAAATAAACAATAGTTCATGTATGTAAGTATGTTAAAAATTACATATGTGTTTTACATGTATGTACATATTGCATTACATATTGAATATCAGGGCTTGGACCATAAACACTATTCATATATGAGGTCATACCTCAAATACCCATCACATAGCCTATACTAGTATAATTAGCACAAAATTCTTGAGTTAATATACAAATATAGTACTGTTATAGCAGTTAATTCTTCAGGCCTATTAACGTTTCATCGGCCTATCCTTCCTTCCTGTTTATTGATGGTGTTCAGCTCATAATGATGGCTGTGATTAGGTAATGTATGGTAATGTAAAATGTATTTAATTTAGCTAAAATAGTATAATACCAGGGGTTTCAGCTTCAAAGGAACCTATAGCTCTTCACTTTCTTCCAAGTAACTTCTAAAAGGCCTTAGGAACTACATATATGATGTTCAACACTGAGAAATAAAAGTAGTCACATTTAAGATAATTTAAGGTTTAAGATAATTTAAGATATGCCAGTAGTTGACTACAGCATAAGTCTGGTGCAGATAGCAGCATTTTAGCTACTTACAGTAAGTTTCATTTTCTTCCGGCACCTTCAGACATTTAGAGCCAGAGTAGGAGAAGTTTCCTAAATAGCCAATCCCCACATCTTTGACAGAAATCAACCTTTCTGCTCCAAATGTGGACCTGCTTCTATTTAGGTAGAATCTAAATGTAGGCTTATGGGCCATATGCACTAACAAAACTGTCACTTTACACATGGGACATGGATTACCCTTGAATATCAAACTAATACAAACCAACTGCGCTGCGTCATCTACACAGTTATAGGCCATATGGTATGTGTATATTTTATCAATTAAGCAATTAGATTAATTAGAGGTATTATTCAAATTAGAGTTTTTTTAATCTTTATCTTTTATCTTATCTTTCTATCATGCTGTAACATTGTTCCCTCATCAAAGTATGAGGTTTTAGATGTCATCCATGCACGTTTGAGTATTTTAGTAGTCACGTTTTGAGCCCTATTCAGATCTTCCTTGTGGTTAGCTGTCCTAAGTCAGCCAAACCTAATTCACTAATTTTATTGTGAGTCGGAGTCTTCACTGTAGCATCTCAAAAGCCTAGACTGCACATCTGCACACAACCAGCTGCATGTCTGAATGTTTAAAATGTGTTATAACTCTCCGTTATTCAAATCTACTGGACTTATGAATGTAATATTTAGCATTAAACTTTGCACCAGTTCACAGTTGGCAGTGTTGGAGTTTGTGTGTCAGAAGAGGGAGCTGTAGCCTCAGGTTGCCTTCACACAAAACTAAAAGAATGTGACTCTGGATTTTTACTAATATATCAACAAAATGTAATAGATTCCATTAACATAACATAACATATATAATAAGTTATAAGTATGTATGTGTTATGTTATGTTAAAATTATGTTTCTTACTACCTACATGCATACTTAATAAAAAAAAAATTGGCTACATTTTAGATATAAAATGTTCCTCTTAAATATGTTATAGCAGTTATAGTATGTTGTGTAATATAATACATCTAAGTTTTGGGTAATACTCTGGTGTCCCTGGGTATAAAGACAGAAGAGCACATGGCCGATCTGAAGCCAGACGCTGCCATCTGGTGGCCTTGTGTGTTAATGAGGTGCTGTGAACAATGCTGGCTGAGACCAGGGAAGGTGTTTTCCACTAACGCTCCACTTTTTATGATGTGCTTTATTTTACTGGTCACCATATTAAGCCTGTAAGCAATGTAATACTTCTATTAAACTTTTAAAGTAGTGTTATTGCACTGCCCTGTGAAGGCCTTATAGACTGGGCACTTGCTGTAGTTAGTTAGTCTTCTCTGTTGAATCACTGGCAGCACATTGTGTTCCTTGAAGTCAAGGTGCTGTGCAAGAGTGTGTGAAATGATTTCTGGCCCAGCTATCAGAAGAGTCTATGATGGACAGGTTATCATAGGGTCACTAAAGTTAAAGAGCTATCCAGCTGTCAGTGTGTTTACCTAACATTAAGGCTAATATTGTGGGTCAGTGCTGGGAGTAGTTAGAGGAAGGTTAACTACCATTTTACCCACACACTGGTGCCATTGTGCAGCCAGGGTCTGATCGATTTGTTCCCACGAAGGCTGTGCTCAGGTTCAAAGCCACAGGGAGCGGAGGAGTGTCTGTGCCGGACAGCTGCCTGTCCCCCCACACTGGTGAATACTCATCACTTGGCTTATTGGGTTGGTTATGGCTTCTCGGGTTTCATGGATGTACAAGGGAGACATTGGCCTTTGAATAGGGCCAATTGAGGGCATTCCTGGAACTGAACATTAAACAAATATATGGGCACTGTATTTCAGCGTGACATTGTTCTGCCTCTGAAGTGTCTGCAGCTCTACCATTGTGCTTCTTGTTTTCCATGTACAGCTCCACTCTCTGATTAGCAGGAAATTATCCAGCCTGTTGTGTTTTACTTCTCCACATGCAGAAACTATCAACAGCTCCCATTACATTGGCATTACAAGCAAATGTTGTAACCATGCTGCAAACTGGAGGTAAATCTATGGAGGATTATTAAGAGTTTCATCTGATACATTGAGGCTTATGGAGCTTTAGGCTGGACTAAAATCTGGTATCTATGGCAGCGTGAATGAAAGCCCCCTGTGTGAGAGAATAAAACCCTCACATGTATTTTCATATCTTGTATTATAGGACAACTGTTTTTCCCATTAGCGTGACAAACATCTTTAACAAGTTACACAAAAGTAGGCTATTCTTCAGCATACTTGTCTTGTATGGAAGCATTCAAAGCTCACATTGCTACACATAATAGATGGCAAAGTTAGTGCAGCACAGATGGGTAACATGAAGTCTGTATTTACTAAATCAGTGCTTTTAATAAATCTTAGACATCCACTCTGTACTCAGTCTTGTCATCTTTAGTGCTATTGACAGAAGTAACCCGAAGGTAAATCAATTCTGTTCTGCAAATTAGAACAAATGTGCACTTCAGATGATTCATAAAGTGGTGCATGCATGTCTCTAGGGCCCTTTGTTATAATTTGTTTCTCAGATTTAACTGTAAACACACTAAACATCCTGTGGACCTTTCACCCAGAGTTCTGCTGCCCTGCTCCACTTCTAATTGGACAAAGATGACCCCAATTCAATAGAACCCTTTGAAACTTTCAGATTTCGGTTTCGCTTATGTGTGCTATTATATCTGTGTTTTTGCTAACCTTTACAAGTGCCTTAATCTCCCAATTAAAAAGTCTGGATGTTCAAGGTCTGGTTTGTGCAGTTAACCACTGTGAAAACAACATTGTTAAAAAGGACTTCTGTTCCTCAGCTATGTCTTCCAAATATGGTTAGGACTTCTTTTTTTCTCCTAGGTTCTGGTTCACCTGTCCACTATTTGCCTTAGATTGTTGCATATCTATTAATCACTGGCACAAATCCAATGAAAGTACGTTAGACAAAGAAAGAAAGAAGTGAGCGTTAGCCATTTAGGGGACTGAAATGTTACCTAGCCACATTGCTCGTTTGCATGGCAATTTACATAATCACTATATCCTGTTTTATCAATCTCACCTTTGTATGACTCTGCATACAAAAAGACACTAATCTGCACTATTATATTTCAGTGAAAGAACGCAGGCTCTTTTTGATCGTCTTCACTCTCCCTGAATTGTTTTGTG